ACCACAATGCAGGGAACCACAAACGACAGTACTCAAGGTGTTCCTTAAAACCAGAGGGTTGAAAGTGAAACCAAAAGATATCGAACACTTTTGGGATGAAGCCATTAATTTAGCTCCGTGGGTCTCCCCTGAAAACATGTGGGACCCTGACACGTGGATGCAGGTCCTCTTCCTGGCCCAATAAAGGGAGGTCGGGTCAGGGATCACTCCCCTGGCATCGTTTGTACTGATCCTCCTAGCCATCATTGCTAGCCTTAAATCCTCCTCTCCTGAGGAAGTCATCTCGGCCCACAATAAACACTGCCAGGAGCAATCTACTGTAGATCTGGCTATTACCTTGACCCTGGACCTCCCGGACCCAGAGGTGGACACAGCCTCTGCGCCCACTTCCAATAAGGAAGGAACTCCTTTGCCTATATCTCAAGATCGGACTCTCCTAGAGCTGCCATGCCCAGAAATTCCCTCACCCCATTACCCATGGAAGGATTTACTCTCTCCCCCGCCAATAACCATCCTGCCCCTTCCCCTGCTAACATGCCCCTCCCTCCTAGGCTGCCCTCCTTAAAGCCTCACCCGCCTTTGTCTGCATTTCTGGTTAATGTCAGCCCCGATGCGGCGCAGCGTCCATGGCTGCCCACCCCACTTGCTGACCTCGTTCTTATCTGCAAGGCAGCTGAGCAATCGGGCCCTGACTCCCCATATTTTGAACAGGTTCTTCGCCAGTGGTCCTTACATTTACAAACCCACTATGATTGGTATAACTTACTAAAGGCAGTCTTAGAACCCTCAGTCTTTCTAAGCTGGGGTGCAGCCTATGATGATCAGGCTGAAAACCAGGCATGCCTAAATCTCTAATATGGCCTCAACATTACGTTGGACATGCTCACGGGATGCGGACAATATATTGAACCCATCTCCCAGTCTACTATTGGCCTCCATGCCTATTTTCAGTAAGTTTTTGACTTGGCTTTTAAGGCCCTTAAATGTTGCTCCCCCCATGACCCACAATCTTTTTCTGTAATTTGATTCAAGTCAGGGGAGTCCTTCACGGACTTCCTTACCCATGTCACCGAGGCAGTAGAGCGGAGGGTGGAGTCTGGACCCATCCGAGAGGTGCTTATCAAACAGTTAACTTAGGAGGGACTAAACATCCCTACTTGTAATGCTATCACGCCTGTCCGCAATGATAACATTCACAAATGGGTACTTGCTACTAGAGACTTTGACCCTAGGGCGGGCCCTATTGAGGCTTTGATCGCCTCCTTGGAGACTCTTTGGTCTCAAGGAAAACCCACCCACTTTGGTGTACAGGAAGGCTGTTAGAACTGTGAGGGGCTTGGCCACTTTCATAGCCACTGCCCAAGAAGTACAGCCCACTCCAAGACTTGCTGCCCCAAGTGCAAAAAAGGGTTCCATTGGGCTAAAGACTGTAGGTCACAGCCTCAACTGGACTCGGCTCCTTTAAACTCCACCTGGGGCACCCCTCAGCCACACCCACAAGAGGGGAAACAAGACAGATATTATGGACTCTCTCAATCCTCAACCACTCCCCACCAATAACCCTGTTATACTCTTGCCCTTATCGCTTCATTCCCCAGGCTACCCCACCCTCTATTCAACTAATTCTTCGCTTGGCCTCCCCACCATGGACCCAGTTACTTCCTGGGAATCACTCAATGGCTCCTGGCCCCTAAATAACTCTCTATGCTTCACTACCAACAACACATCCTCATGCATTGGGCTGTTCAACCTGACTATCCAAGATTATGCCGGCAGTACCTCTAATCTAAAAGCACTGTTTGACCTGTCTTGAATCGTCACTTACCTACTCCTGACAGGTATAATTATTCTTCTCTTTCTACTTCTTAAATGCCTTGTTCTTCGTTCCCGCAGTCAGAAAAAATTCAATCACTCGGTGTATCAGGCCCTCAGAGCAATACACGAAGATGATTTCAACCCACCCTATGCAGCCCGACAGACTTGGCTTGTACAAATGTATGAAGCCTCCTACAGATAATTCCCCACCTCAACTGATCCCTGGGACGATACCCCTTGGAAGGCTGGTAGCCAATGACAGGTAAGCGCCTGTTGGGCTGAATCAACCTAAGCCAGGACATGGATGTGTATGCCCATGCTCCAATGATGGGTAAGGTTCATGCCCGAATAGGACAACCTAAGACAGGCACAGTCCATGATCCTGGGGTCATCCTGGGACGGAGCTGCCTACAGGCTCTACCTGGACAGTCATTTTTAAAGAAAAAGGGTGGAAATGTAGCAAGAGGCCTCCAAAGATGGCGTGGACCCAGAGCCCTGGGATTCAGAGAGAATTCACTTCACTTCTTGGTCCACAAATAGCCTGCCAAAAGGAGCCCACGCCTCTGCAGAGCCCAGTGACTGCTGACAGACTGCATGGCTCGGACAAATCAGAAAACGATACGCTGACTAAAGGGACTTGGGGGCGGAGAAAAGGGAAATCTAAGGCCTGCCCCCTCCTGCATTAAACGAGCCTGCAGCACCTCGCCTAGTACTTGCTTCTACCCAACTCCCTGGGGTCTGTGTGTCATGACTCTGCGCCTCTTGCCCCTCCTAATCAGCAGGGGACCCGATCCAGGTTAGGGTCTTCACAGCTGGCCTGAGGAGAACCTGCAACAGGGTCTCACATGTACTATGGAAGTGTTCTAATGGTGAGCCACACACCCAGCCCATTTTCACCACATTGGTTACTATGCCCAGTGGTAAGACTCCTATAATAAATCATGGTATGATTGTTCATGTAATACAATGTAAAAATTACAGAGACTAAGGCAGGTCTTTTCAGATTTTAATAAAGAATGGTCTGCAAAGCATTAACATGTTAAAAAAAAAGCTCAAAAGCTCCAAGATGTATAACAAAGAAGGGTTCTAGGTGGGAGTTGCACCTGCATATGCACTGGTGACACAGGCTCTCTCTGGAAGGATAAACACAAACTGGGAACTCTGGTGTCTCCAGGGAGAACTAGGTGAGAGGTATGTGCATGCAGGGATGAAAGGTAGATTTATAGAGATATGCTGCAAAAGAGTAACATTTAACGAACATGCAAATGCAGAGGCAGAACACAGACACGGTCACCAGAGGCGCAGAGCAGGGAATGGGGACAGCTTCCTTTCTGGGGCGATAAAATGTTATGAAATTATTAGTAAGATTTATTTTTATTTTATGTGTATGAGTGTTTTGCCTGCATGTATGTAAGTGTACCACATGTGTACAGTGCCCACAGAAGTCAGAAAAGGGTATTGGATTCTCTGGAACTAGAGTTACAAATCATTATTAGCTGCCCTGTGGGGGCTGGGAACCAAACATGGGGCCTCTGAAAAACAGGAAGAGTTTTTAACTACTCAGTTATCTCTCCAGCCCCATTTTTTTTTTATTACATCTACTTTACTTATCTGTGCAGTGTGTGTGTATGTGTGTATGTGTGTGTGTGTGTGCGCGCGCGTGTACATACACACAGGTCAGAAGACAACTTGCGGGAATCACCTATCAGTTTTCTCCTTCAACCATGTGGTGGTTCCATGGATGGAACTCAGGCTTGGTAACGTGTCTCTACCTACTGAGCCATTCTATGCCAGGACCCCCTCACACCCCCTACTAGGGTTTGAATAACACAGTGCCTCATGCATGCTAGGCAAGCACTTTACCACTGATCTACACTATCAAAGCAAAATTCTGTTTTTTAAAGTGTATACATCATTCTGTAATCTTAGCACACCACAGGAGGAGGAAGGAGGAAAGGTGAATTCGAGGCCAGCCTGGACTGTATAGTAAGGCCCTGTCTCAAAAAATAAAAATTAATGAAAATCAAAGTGCATACTAGTAGGTCCACAGTTGCTCAACCATCAGCACTATCATTCCATAACAGGAGTCAGTGAGATGGTTCAATGGGTAAAGGCACTTGCCAACAAGCCAGATGACCTGAGTTCAATCCCTAGAACCCACATGGTAAAAGGAGAGAAGCAACTCCTACAAGTTGTCCTCTGGCACAGGTATGCCATGGTATAAGCATATGAGTGCACACATACATTCACAAATAAATAAAAAGAAAAAAATAACATTTGAATTTTGAAACATGTTTTACCTATTTGAAAGAATGAAAACTTTAAGAGTTCTAAAGTTAAAAACAAAACAAAATGGCGCAACCATGTAGTAACTGAGTATTTTCTAAAATCATAAAAGCTGACCCTTGGGGCTGGAGAGATGGCTCAGTGGTTAAGAACACTGACTGTTCATGCAGAAGACTCAGGTTCGAATGAATCCCAGCACCCACATGGCAGCTAACAACTGTCCAAAACTCCAGTTCCAGGGGATCCGACGGTCTCTCTGTCCTCCACAGGCACTGCATGACATGGGTGCACTTACCTACATGCAGGCAATACATGCATACACATAAAATACAAACAATAAATAAATATTAAAAAAAAAAACCCAAAAGATAAAAAAAAAAAAAAAAAAAAACCCAAAAACCTAACAGCCCAAAGACAACACTATCAATAAATATCTGGCTTTTCTGCCTTACTGGACATTTATCAGATCTCCAGACAATGAAAAGATCTCAAGATCACTGGTGCCTATAATCCCAGCACTAGGAAGACTGAGGCAGGAAGACTAATGCAAGTTCAAAGGCAACTTAGGCTATAAGATCTTATCTTGGGGGCTGGAAAGATGGCTCAGGGTTAAGAGCACTGAGTGCTCTTGTAGAGGACCCAGGTTCCATTCCCAGCACCCACATGGCAGCTAACAACTGTCCATAACTCCAGTTCCAGGGAATCCAACAACCTCTTTTGACCTCTGAGGGCACTGCACAACACAGGTGCACTTACCTACATGCAGGCAATACATGTAT